TAGGGAATAATTGCTTTCAACTTGTAGATCAGTGTGGCTGTTCTGAAGTTGCTGTCCAAAATATAAATGGCTCTTTTTGGGGTATTTCTTGAGTTTCTGGTGTCAATCCATCACCTCACGCTGAGCTGAAATACCTTGGAGCTGCTGCTCTCAGTGTCAGTGAGAATCTAAATATTGCAGTTTGAAATCAATAAATATTTACCCAGATGAGGATATGAGAGCTGAGTGTACCAATGTTTGCTCTTTCCTCTTCCCAGGCTGGAGGGGAAGGTGTTCCCAGCCATGGATGCTGCACAGGTGATTCCCAGAGGTGGCTCAACACCTGTGGGAGTTTGTTTATATGTCTGCTGAGCTCTCTAGAACTCAGGCCTTGCCATAATTAGGTAAAAAAGCATAAACAAATGTGGTGTAGAGGAGAAGAAGGGAGATTAAACTAGAGAGGTGAAGCAATTGTGATCCAATGCCTCACTGAAATTCAGTGTAATAAAGGGAAGAAGATGAGGCTTTCCTGATAGCATCACATGCACTGACCTAGTGTCACTGTTTGGCTCTCAGTGTTCCTTGCCTGGCAATCTTCCTTCTAATTGCTCTTCCAGCCCTTCAGTTTGCTTACAGCATGCAGAGCTGGGGTGAGGTTTGCTTTGTGCCTGTCTTGCGGCTCAAGTTGGAGAGCTGATTGCTGAAATGAGCAGCACTGACACAGAACCAAACACTTATTTCTTCAAATGAGTTCCAAGATAACTGTTTCTCAGCAATATTTCTTCCTAGCAATGCTGCTAACCTTCTCCAGGCACTTTTTGTCATGGACTGTCTGTGGGGTTTGTTACTGTGGTGTGGAGCAGCAAACTCTGCAGTGGTGTTTGTACTGTCTTGGGTTGGAAGTGACTGTGTGGGAATCATCAAAAGACCATAAGATCCTTCTTAACATGCCAGAGTTGATATGCTTTCTCCACTTCCTGGGCAAGATTTCAGTAGGGAGTGTGATGGTAGGACCTCAGTTGGAAAAACAAACAGTGTTCAGTGTGATGGAATGAACTGAATCAACAGTTGCAATTAGTTCCACGCTTCTTTATTAACTTCCCCCATGTGCAGCACACAGAAGACATCCACGTTTCACATGGCAGTGCAGCCCTTTGGGGTGGAATCCAGCAGCTGTTTCCCAGCCCACAGACTCCTGAGCAGCACACAGTACCAGCACAGTGCAGGCAAAGGAACCCATTAAAGTGCTCCTGCCAGTCAAAACTGCAGGGGAAGCTTGATGGGTGAAATGTAATTATCAGGGCTGGCTGCTGGCCAGGGAGTTTGGCTGGATCACTGCTTTTCTCCTGCAAACACTGAGCACTCTGTATTGTGGCACTCCAGCAGTGCATTGCTGGGGTGGTTTATTCCACAGCTTGTCAAGAAAAGGATAAAATTCATCTTAAGAATGGTTTACAGAGTTGTTGGGGACACAGGAGGAGCTCTGAGCTAGCCCAGCAGATCAGGGAGCAGCAGTTCTGTGTGCCCATGTGTGGAGCCAGGAGAGTCATGTGGGAATTCTCTCAGCAAGTGCACATCCAACAGAATTACTCTTCTTCCTCTTCCCTGACAAACCCTCATCGAGCTGAAGGCATTTTGCAAGATGCCTGGAGAGAGGCAAAGCTGCTACCCATCATGAAATTCCACCTGAGTCCAGGATTCCATCATGTTCCACCTTTCTGATCCCTTTGATATTGGGAAAAACCATCTAGGCAATGGAGTCAGAATAATTTTGCTGCATGTGCCTTTTTATATTTCAGACTGTGTTTTCTAGCACAACAAATGTTGTTCTGATGATTTTTGGGTTGTTTTTTTTCAATGCTCTTGAACGTAGAGATCTGTGAGTCAAGAAGGAAAGCTCTGATGCAGGGCAAGTGCTCCACTTGGAACCAGACAGAGATGTGGACAGTCTGTGTCTTGTTTTAACAACTTCCTTGCTTCAAACTCTTGTTTAAACCTCAGAAGTGAGGTCCTCTTGCAGGAGCTCCCAGGTCCTGGTTATCATAGGAGTAAGATCACATTAGGCAACTCATTGAAACTGTTACACTTCTGGGTTTGTTTAGTTATTATGATTATTCCTCAGGGACAAAATTTCACCCCAAAGGATGTGTCTAAATTAGAGATTTAGAATTAGAGAATTAGAAATATACTTTGTGTACAGCTTGGCTCTTCTTTTGGGCAGGTAAATATGGGAATATCTGCAGTGGCCACTGTGTTATTGTGGCTGTTGTGCTTCTGATTTACTCCTTGAAATGTGAAAGATGTTTATCTAGGATTAACAGTCTACTTGGAGACAGGGGATATTGCCAGTATCTTCTCTTGAGTTCAAATATATCTTGAGTTCACTGTATCTAGGAGTGAACTGATTCAGGTTTAAAGTGCTTTATGTCCAGGATGCAGTTTAGAGATTAGTATGGATAATTTCTGCAGTCCTCGTGCCTTTATAGAGGTAATGGCATAGTTTGGGGGTATTTGTGACTCTAATCCCACTGCAGGTCAGTGAGAAGTGGAGACCCAGTGCCTTATCCATCAGGAAATCACAGCCCAGGGGCAGTATCCTCAAGGAGCTGCTTTGCTGCAGTGGATTTTGCCTCACTCTCAAGGGGACTCAGAGCCTCCATCAGCACGGTGGGTTTGCCTTCAGGATCAGCTCTGCACTGCCAAGACTTCTTCCTCCAGGAGCAAGGAAATGCTCAAGATACACATCCAGAAATATGGAAAGGATTTGTGGTGTTGGCTCATCTTTGAGTCAGGTGTTGCCATCAGCAGAAAGGCTTAAAGGAGGGATGTGTTTTCTGCTTCCAGCTAGCTCAGGCCAAGAGCTTGTTGGCATAGCTTGGTACAGTGCAGAGTGTGGAGGGTGAGGGGATGTCTGGATCTTGCCTACACCCAGTTTTGTTTGCTTTTTGTTTTCTCTTTTCTTCCTTTTATCCCTTGGTTTGATTTTTGTTAGTGACAACACTTGCACAGAGGTTCCTCAGGGGCTGAGCCAGGCTCAGAGACATCTCTGCATCTCCATAAGTGCCTGCTAAAATCTCCCTTAAACCTCCCCACCTGAAAGAAAGAGCCTTAATTATCAAGTTATTAGGAAAGCTGATGTTATTTTCCCCTTCAGTGTTTCCTCTGTTGCTCTTGCTTTGCTGATAAGGGTTTGAATAATGCAGCTGACTCCATGTGGTGTTGGAGAACTGTTTTGTCTCCAGGCAGTTCCTCTTTGACAGCCTCTGTGTGTTTGCCTGCTCATATTTATGGTGTAAGCTCTTAGCAGTAATATACCTCATCTGGAATGCCAGTCCCCTCCTATCCCTCTCCCTCTCCTTTAGCAGCCAACATCTCTCTGATCATTACATTAAAATTAACCCTTAATAAATTAGCCAGTTGGAGTTGGAGTCTCTTATCCTTCAGTTCTTCCACAGCTAAAATAAAGGGACGCTGAGACCTTGTTGCCTCTTAGTGAAAGGTATTAATCCACGTCATTAATTGAGCATTTATTTAATTAAAGACCTTCTAATGATATTGTTTAAAGAGACTTGGCCAAGTGATTAGGTGGCTCAGGGGATTGGTGATAGGATAGAACCATGTTCACCTCCAGGTCACTAGTTCAAGTCTAATTTCTGTGGCTCATGGCCAGAAAGTGTTGTGTGTGGTCAGGGAGCTGTTGGAATATACTTTTTGCTTAGGATAGGCAAAATTCTCCCAATTACATGGGAGAGGAAGTTTTGTAAAGCCATTTAAAATAGCAGCTAAGTCAATTCACAGAGTTCTCTTTCCATTTTGCACAAACCCTCCCAGGTTGGTCATTTGCCTTCCTGAGTCTGAGATCTCTTTCTCCACTAATAGGCTTTTTAATAAAAAAATAACCACTTCATCTAGCAGCTGAGGTTGAATTAGAGCTGGAGCTGCTAATTGGGAATCACCACGTTCTGTTTGCAGAGATAAATTAAAGAGAGTCTTGGATCAGTGTGTGTTTGTTTTTCTCTAGTGATGCTTCCCCCCCTGGGATTTAAGTTGCATTTAGGCATGTTGATTGCTTTAATCTTAGTTGTGCAAAACTGGTAGTATCCTGCCTTTCTAGGTTAGAATATTGAGGCAAAACTGCTGATTTTCTCATGAAAGATTTACTGAATCGTTGGTAGATAAAGGAAGATATAAAAAAGAAGTAAATGTGGAAACTCATTTCATGGAAGGATCCTTTAACACAAAGCATCTCTGTCGTTTTTCTTTCTGTCTTCCTTTTTTTAACTCAGAAAAATAGGTCCTAGCCTGATAGATAAGTGGATAGAATCAGATCTTACTTAAATATAAGATCCTCAGTCAATCAGTGCCTTAAAACGAGCTGCAAACCAGGAGGGTGGAGAGAGGGAGAGAGACTCATTCTTCTCTCCTTGTGTGTTTATGTGCTGATTAAAGGTGTCACACTGGGCATGCTGAGTGGAAATGGCTTTTCTGCCCCCAATTTATTGGCAATAAGATTGAGTACAGCAAACCTCTTGTGTGCCATGACCATCCCTGTGATCCATTATCCAGGAGCATCCCTGTTAATGACTGAGGATTCTGACAGCATTAGGTACATGCAGAATTTCCATTCCTGACTGGAATATAGAGCAATTCCCAAGCACACCAGGCTGTGTACAGACAGTTGGTGTTTGGCAGGAGATGATGGGTTGTTGCTGCATGTCTTTCATTCCCTGTTTCCATGTCAGTGTTGGGTGCTCTGCAGCCTTTCATTCCACCCTGGTG